GGGGAGAAAATGAGAGCGAAAGAGAGGGGGGAGGGAAAATCAGGAAGAGCTGAAGCACCAGTTGGGAAATTCGTCACTTCGCCCCTCGGCCCGCCATCTTAGCCAATAATCTAATCCAGATCACGGCGATTAGGCTCCTGTTACCAGCAGTGAGGACCAACCAGGCAGAAGCCACCTCCGTCCTATGTGCCGGACCGCCGGACAAGGTTTGGCAACAGAAGTAACGCTGACCATCGTAAGTTACTTAACGTAGTATTAGCGCGCAGCAAATCAGATCGATTCGAAATGTTGTTAGAGAACCCGGGGTAGCTTGTGTGTAGGGGCTAGTTTGCGACAACTTCGTCTCGAGTGGGCACGTACTCAAGTACTGTACACCTGTTGTTGTTTTTTTTTGGGTTCTTTTGCGAGCTCTTTGCTTTTTTGTTCGTTGTTACTGTTGTTTGTTTGTTTTGGGGTGGGATTTTCTTTTTTTTTCGCGTTTTGCTTTGCCTGTTTCGTTTTTGGCGTGCTCTTTGAGCTTCTTTTTTTTTCGCGTTTTACCTGTTTGTTTCTCGTGAACGTTTTGAATTCGCGATTTGAGTCGCCCAGTGCTATGTTGATGCATGTTGTCTAATAATGTGTAAACTAGTATTTTAATTCAAATGCCTTGCAGTGCAGAGAACAAGTTAAAAAAAAACACCGCCTATATTATACCAGTGCATACATAATATGTGACTTGCAATCACTGTTAAACAATACATTTTAAAATATTTTAAAACCATTCTTTTAATGTGTGTGTGAGGGGGGGGGGATTAATGTGTACGAAAATTTAAAAAACAACAACAACAACAACAACGAAACAAATAAACAAAGCAAAATGAAAACAAATATAGTAGCGTTCCTTTTCACATTTTGCAAGCGACTTTAAAACCCCTGAATTGCACTCTAAAAATCGCAAAAATTGTAAAAATCGTCGTGTGCGACAAAGAAACCCGTGTATACAGTACGCTGTGGGGAGATAATCCCTTCCCCACGCTTGTGCTCAATGAGTGAAGCGGACTGTGTGAGGCCCACAGGCCAGACGGCTAAACACGGCACAGAGAGCGTCATAAAGCGCACTGACCAATCCTATCTAGAGCCCGGGGGCAACTTTGGAGAAATATTGCTTGTCTGTTTGTATCTTTTCTGTCTCTTTTTGTTTTTGGGTGGGGTTTTGTTGTTGTTCTTCTTCTTCTTCTTATGGGTAAATGTTTTACGGCGCTCGTAACTGCGTAGTCACACGATCGTGCTGATCAGTCTCTGTGTGAAAAAAAGGAGACACGTTGACCTGTGTGAAATTTTAGTTAGAGTAAAGACAAGAAAATAACATCGAGACAATAACGGTCATTTAGTGCGGTGGAAACTTGTGGTCAACGAAGCTGTTTTTACGCCCGCATCGACACGATTGAGATCATTAGGAGATGGGATTTGTCAGTCCTTACCAGGGACCAACCCGGGCGGAAAGGGATACATCTCTGTGGAAAGACCGAGATACTCGATAAGAATTTTCGCCATTCGGGAATCAAACTCAGGTCTTCCCTTCTCCACTTTTCGCTGCCCTAGAATTACAAAATTCTATCCGCTCAGTACCTAGTTTTGAGAAATTTGACGCAAAAAAAAAATTGATTTCACATGTCAAGATTTTTTGAATATATCTTAATAACGACTCCATTAAGTCTTGCGTTTTTAATAGAGCACATAGAACCTCTGGTTTCTGACCTCATGGTCTCAGTAACTCAAAACGGCTAAAATTGGCAGATACAATGTTGTACTTCTTAGGTTTAAAAAATTATGTCCTTAGAGTGAAACCGACTGGGTGAGAGCCACAGGCCAGACGGCTAAACGTGGCAGAGAAAGCGTCATAAGGCGCACTGACCAATCCTATCTAGAGCCCCGAGGGCAACTTTGGAGAAATATTGCTTGCCTGTTTGTATCTGTTCTGTTCAGTTTCTTTTTGTTTTTGGGGTTGTTTGTTTGTTTGTTTGTTTGTTTTTTGGTCATTGTTCTTGTTGTTTTTTGTTAATGTATAGCGCTGCCAAGTACATAAGCCATAATTATTATGAGCGTGCTGATCTGTCTCTGTGTGAAAAAAATAGACGCACATCCTCTTGAGCGGGGAAAAAAAAGAACATAGGACCAGGTAAAAAAAACGGTCATGTAGTGCAGGGAAAGCTTGTAAGACGGGAGGACAGTGGGTGGATGCTCTGATGTAGTCTGCTCTTTTTTTCCTATCAAGCATCTAGAGTTCATATCCCTCGTTCATCTTTTATGTTACTTGTCTTGTAACACTTCTAATATTCGATATTTATATGACCTGTGTTGCAAGAGCCGTAAATGTAAAACTCGTGCTAAAACTAAACCTAAATTGGAAAAGACAAATAGTCTCAGCAGACAAATGGGGATACTTGATTTTTTTTAATTAAGTAGGCTACATGTAGGTTTTTTTTAATGCCCCTATCGACACACTTTATATGATGTAGGAGGCGGGTTTCTGACCCTGGTTGTCAGGGCCAACCCGGACTGGGAGGGACACAACATCCCGGCAGGATGACGGAGATACTCGATTTTTAAGTTTTCTCCCCTCTTGAGAATCAAACTCGAGTCTCTTGTTGCGACAGCGAAGTGCCTAACCGCTTCACCACAAACGCCACTGGAGATACTTGATAAAACAACTTCGCCACAGGGGAAACGAATCCATGTCTTATGTGAACATTGAAATGAAATTGTATAGGTATAACGCCCTTATCAACACTGTAAGGTTATTTAAGAGGCGGGACCTCCGAGTTTTACGGAAAGGACCGAGCCAAGTGGGAAATTCGTGAAAAGTGCCTTTCCCAAGGACACAACTGAAGCTCGAACCCCTGAACCTGCAATCTCACGATTACGAGTCTGGTTGCCTGACCACTGGGCTACCGACGCCACGTGTCTTATGTGTGATTTTGATGCGCTTAGCAACTGCACTACAGACGCCTAACAAACTAGTGCCCCCCCCAAAAAAAAAACAAAAAAAAAACAACAACAACAACAACAAAACAACACACCACCTTCCTCCAGGTCAAGAGATGAGGTATGAGCCCCTCTCAAACATTGAGAGCTTAATTTTAAAAAATAGTAATCGTTTTATGGCACTTGCTAGTTTTAGTTTTAGTAAGGTTTACGGCGCTAGCAACTGCATACGGTCATATGAGCGCCAAGGGGTGGATGTCAACAGAGAAGTCCAAACTGGGAATCCGGCTTACCCTGCTCACCTCTTATTGCCTCTTAAGCCCCAACAGCACTTAGCCTGCTTCGACTATCAAGGCACCCCGGAAATAGTAGTTCATAACAGAGTGATGAACATACAAAAAAGTAGAGGAAAATGACGATAGTAAGGATGAGGAAAGAAAAAGCAGCAATTCCCACTATGTTGTTCCGGCACAGTATGACCATGACATTGATAAATAAGCCCATCTACAATTCCACTGTGCTTAAGTACATAGTAATATCCCCCTTTTGGGAGTGGCCTAAAGACAGCACTTGCAACACAATAACGTCTTATAAGTGCCGAAGAGTAGAGGTGTTACAAGAGAGTAACAGACACAAAAAAGAAGAGATCAGGACGATAGGAGTGTCAAAGGATAGAAGGAGCAAACTACACCAAAGCACCTGCCAACAACCCACTAAACCTTGAAGTAAATGTATATTTCAAAGGTTGGGACCTCCGAATTTGACATCCACTTGATTTGTTTGAGCAAAGAGAAGCACATCGACACAATGTTGGTCAGGTACTGATTTAGTGCTGGGACAAAGTAAGACTAAGACGGACAGACAAAAACAACAAGGAAAGTAAAGCATTGACATCCATCTCCGAAATGACTGAGGGAGTGTCTGAAAAGCCGTGGAAACTTCTGCTCGAATTACAAAGAATTGTTTTCATGGTATCTCTCACCGCCCCTCCCCGTAAACAGAGCAGAGAATCATGTCTTCCCACGCTCAGGGGTGTAAATCACGTAGGTCTGTATGCTTCCCAGGAGGCCGAGAATCTCTGCGTGAGACTTCAAAAATGAAAAGACATTCCCACCGTCTCTTTATCAGTTTCAAGTTTTAAAAAAAGAAGAAAAGAAAATGAAATGAAACAAAACAGACAAAAACTTTAATTTCTCTTACAAATTTTTAATTTCAATTTTTTAAAAATCAAAATCATTAATAAATACATGATTTACTATGTCATATTTACATATTATGTACATAATCAAACAATACCTTCCATTTTCAATATTTAGACATGCATGCACACTTTTGTTCTGCCTTTGCTCGTTTATATGATGCAAGAAAGATGTGACACAAATAAGTCCAGACCAGTCAGTTACAGAACACAGAAAAGTGTTGAGTAAAGAGAAGCCAAACAGGCGAGGAATGCGGTGTGTAAAAAAGAATACAATGTCACACAGGCCTAAGAGAAACAATGCAGAGATAAATCAGTCAACAGCTTCACCACTCCCTCTCTCGCTCGCTTGCCCTTTTCGGTGTCCTAGTCTCATCTATCTCCCTGTGCTAATCTTTGAGTTTTCGAATAACTTCATTGCTGCTCAGTAAACACCATGGCTAAGTCTAACAATGAATCCGTTCCAGCCTGTTTCTGTTTTTGCAGAGCACATTGACCTGAATGTCACCGGCTACCACGCGTGCAAAGAGCGTGAGCAAGTCGCGGGTGAGGGCAGTATTGTCGGAGCCCAGAAGCTGTACGGACTGTGGAGGATTATCCGGCTACGATTCAGGCAAGGAACCAGTTTATAACAAAATGTGTGACAATAAACAAAAGTTATCAGGTCGCTATCATCAGCGCCAGTCTGACGGTAACAAAAGGCACAAAGGACTCCCCCTCTGTGAAAGGCATCACTGGCAGGCAACATCCCGTTATCGGTGTCAAACGAGGAAATCGAGAAGAAATTTAAAAGAGCCAGTGCCATAAGATCGAACATTTACGAGGAATGCTTCAGGAACAATGCAGGTAAGTTAACCTTATTTAGATCTAAGTTCGGAAGACGTTTAGTCTACATTGAGCCCCCCCCCCCTCCTACGATTTTCAGGGATGTTATTGTGTTATTGGAGACCAACTTTGTATCACTATGACAAGAAAAAAAGGTGCCAATGGAAGTAACACAGCCGGTGAAGGTCAGAAGTCAGCCCGCCCCCGACACTCATGGTCAACCGTCGATCCGTGCGGTAAACACAAAGGCGGAGACACACACCCTGCGTGCCGTAAAACAAACAAACGTGGACTTTTTCCCCCCGCAGCCTGACCGCTCCCGCCCCTCAGTCCGCTCACCCCGAAGCCAAGACAAAAGGTCCCGAAGTGTCAACACGAGGAGAAACAAGAGGCAGGTGAGCGACGAGCCAGCTCGGTCACCGAGTGTCAAGGCGCGAAAGCAGGGAGTGAGTGGCAGTGGCACGAGAAGAAGGGAGGACACAGTGGATTATTTTGATTCTGAAGAGTCTGTGGAAACCGAAAATTGCGTACAAGAAGAGGTTGGTGAGTGGGTGAATGGTGTATACACGTATAGGTATCCATTGGTAACGACTTGGACTTGTTAAAGGATTTTGATATTGGTTTAGCGACTGACTGTTTCGAATGCCTATTAGAATGGCCTCCCTTAATTGTCTTGGCCTTTTTGAACAAAAAAAACAAAAGAACAAAAAAAGAAAAACTTTTTTCAGTAATTGTACAAAGTATGACATAATTTGTCTGCAAGAGACATGTCACCAACACCACCTCGTCGCCGAGTGCAGCCCTTCCAAAGAAAGTATAACATAACAACGCCTGTGCGCATCAACGCTGCAGGGTAAACGAAGCCTTCGCCCAGCGTTGTAAAAGGGAAAACTGTCAAATCCGCCCATCTTTGGCCACCCAAGAAGCTCCCGAATGCACTATTATTTGAATCTTCCAGGGAAAAGCGAGGATGGATGACGAGCTGGTGAAATGGTACAAGTTTAACGCCCCTATAAACAATATTAGGTTATTTAAGAGGCGGGACCTCCGAGTTTAACGTCCATCTCCGAAAGGACCAAGCCAAATGGGATATTGGTGTAAAGTGTCTTCCCAAGACACAACACGCAATCTCACGATTACCGGTCCACTAAGCTACCGATGCCACAGTCGTCACCAGAAGCAGCTCATCCAAAGAAAGTATTACAATACTAATGTGTGCATCAACACTGAAGGGGATAAGCCACCTCCACTCTGCGTGGTAAAAGGGAAACTGTAAAATTCCTTCAGTCTTTTGCCACCCAAGTTGCTAACAAATCGACCTAACTAGAAAAACAAAACAAATTGAATAAACACCTGTTTCGTAATTCATATATAACTACATCACGAAATGAGGTGATCTCCTAAAAGACCTGCAAATTCTCCCCATACAGAGGCAAAGTTCCCCATCACTGAGGTCACTTGCAACAAGCATGAAGCAGATGAAATATGACGAACAGGCAAACTACTTAAAGGACTATCTGCATTTTAAGTTTAGTAAGAGTTGTACGGTGCTCGCAACTGCATAAGGTTCTATGAACACGAATATTCTGCATTTTTATCGGCTAGAAGAAGTTGCAGATGACTCTAGGGAAATTACCATTGAGCAGAGAGAGGGGTGTATAGGCTTGTTACTTCACTAGCCAGCTACGAGTGTTAGATTAATCAGGCTGTACCCTATGACCTTTACTTGCTTGGTTTGTCTCTTCTCAGACATCTTCTGACAGAGCATGGTGAAATGGAGGGTGAAAAACATTTCTCAGAAAACGTATCATCAACTTTTAACACATAAAAATTACAAACATACAGACAGAAATGTACAGAAACTCCTGGACGAACAGACATCAATCTACGACATTTCTTTCCCTAAACAAGGATATTATCATCTTGCATCCATGATGGCATCTCACGGAAACACCCTAGGCTAAGCCTAACACCCTCAAATAATTTAGTTCAGATCACAGAATTTAAGGAAAGGCAGTCACTCAAGTGAAATTTTGAACGGGGATGACATTTCTAAATTCAAGATGAAAATTATAATTCATTCAGGCTTCATTCACCCAACAAATGCATAATATATAATTATATGCAAAGTGATCCTGAAAGTCAAAGCTATTGATTACTGTGATTTCAGAAACCACTATATCAGTGCTGGTAGGGTCTACATATATACACAAACTCATCAAAGGCAAAACTGCAATTTAAAAAAAAAAAAGGGGGGGGGGGGGGTGTTAGTTCACAAATCATTATAAGACATTCGTTCAAAGATGGATTTTCAAAAATACGCTCGTAATTCAAAAACCATTTAACCCCCACAGCCGCTGAACATGCCCTTGACACAGCCGTTGCTATGCATTTATATCTGGTCTAAAAGGCTTCCGGTTATGTGAGTTTGAGTGCAGTAGCTTTTTTTTTGTATCGCTCTACAATGTTCCTGAGTGTTGCTAGTTTTCAAACAGATATTGTGGTGAGATTATATGTTATAGTGAGTATTGTGTTATGACGATTATATTGTTGCAACTGGTATGTTTGTTAAGCCTGTGAATAAGGAAGCAAGTACGATAGGAGCCGTCAGACAAACAATGCCAGATACTGATCTTGCGTTGTGTCGTTTTTATGTATCCAAAAGCTCAGCACCATGTGGAAGTCAATTTGACCCATCAGTATTTTTGTGTTTGTATATAACTCAGAAGGTAAGTACAGTCTTTTCGACCTTGCAGTTACATAATGAAAGAACCATGTAGAGAGCTGGTGTCAGTAGGATCACGTTGTGCACAAAGTGTGTTTGAAAGACGTTAGAGAGTTCTTCTTGGTCTGATAGAAAAATGGCAGGAAGCCAGGCAACCCTGACCTTCAATCGAAAATATTTTGACTTCTATTCAATGTAGATTGAAATTGAGGACTGTTTGGAGTATGGAAATGAAATGATCACAGCCGTTAGTTCTCAACAGGAAAGTAGAAGTGAGGAAATGGAGACAGAGTTTGGACAAATGGTCAGTCCAGTTAGAGAAGAGGGCAGAGTTCGTGAGGGTAGTGGCAAAGGAGACCAAGATGGTATTAATCTCTGTGCACAAAAATCCTGGCTCCCCCTTGACATGCAGTCTCCACGGACCAAAATCCTGATCCCCCTAGACTCTACCTTTTTTAAAATTTTAAACACTAGAACATGTATTCATCCTTTGTTTGGCAGAATTTTTTTTATCAAGAGCTTCATTGCCTTCCTTCCCTAAAAAGGCAGAAAAACTCTGGTGAAGTGTCAGGGTGGACAAATTGGAAAGTATTTATAGTTGATGTCAATTACATTTTAATTGTCTCGAGTGGACATATTTTTTCACAAGATATGCATTATTTTAATCATGCGGAAGAAATAAAGTTGTTTTGTTGTTATTTTTTGTTTTTGTTTTAAAGCCTTTCTCTATCTATTTAATAGTACATTTGTAGATCTAGTTGAAGAAGGTAAGCTGAATTTTTGCTATCTAGTAATTTAGATATATAAATATAGTACATCAGTCATCGTCCGGCTCATTGTCCAGCATCGAAAAGTCAACAAACCAACATCGATTCATCTCGACATCACCAAAGAATTCCAGTACCTGTAACTTCTTTCCATCACCATAACCAGCTCAAAGCCTTGGAGAGAACGTAAAAGATACAGGGAAACTCTCCCAGACACACAAGGCAAAAAGAAGAGAGCCGAGGAAACAAACCACAAGTGTGCTGAGTGCAAGACCCCTCAAGAACAAGATGGACCATCGCTACGAGATCGTCACCAGGAAAACATTGTCCTCCCAACTGCTGCCTACAAAATAATGAGCACAAAGGGGTCAGCTGAGGAGACAGATGGACGTAATGGACCACCTCACGATCTCCACAGACTGCTGGACGTAATGGACCACCTCACGATCTCCACAGACTGTCGGACGTCAGGGAAAAAAGAAGAGCTCATGTAGGTCATGTCCTACATGACAGTGACCGTGCATTTTGGCTCCCCTGATTGGAAGCTGACATCAAGAGTCCTGAACACAGTGTTGCTGGAGACAAGTCACACTTCAGGGAACATCGCTGCAAATGTCCAAAAAGTTTTTATAGCTTGGGGAATAGAGAGGAAAGCCACTACTGTTGTCATGGACAATGTAGCCAACATGAAGCTTGCTGTTGAGGGGCTGAAATATCAACATCAACCGTGCTTTGCACACAACAACCTCCACCTGGTTGTCAAAGAATCCATCAGAAAGACGGATGATGTGCTTGTGCGTGCAAGACATTGTTTCTTTTTTCCACTAGTGTCAATGTGAGAAACTCACTGAAAGAAGCCTTCAAGGCAAAAATACGACACCAAAGAAATTACACCAGGATGTGGAAACTCATTGGAATAGTACCTTCGAGATATTCAAGTCTTATTTGGAGCAGCACGAGCAGGTGACCGCAGCCCTATGTCTGAGTGGCAAGCAAAACAAGTGCCGGTGCCCCATCAAGCTGTCACTGTTACAGAAGACAATGGAGACCTTGGAGCCCTTTTATGAGGCAATAGTAGAGATTTCAACAGAACAAAACACCTCTCTGTTGCAAAGATCATTCCAATTGTATTCCCGTTGAGCAGGTTCACAGCCCAGGACAAGCTGCCCTTGCAAAGCAACTACCTCAACTTTCAGCTGAACCTACATTTTTAAAGGCATCGATGAGAAGACACATCTGAGGCTAGCTACACTTTTGGACCCCAGGTTTAAGGGAGCTGGGCTTCCCAACAGCTTCACCATCCAACTCTGCTTTGAACAAACTGACCAAGTCCATGACGCTGCCATAGCCACCAGGACAAGCAACAACAAGCGAGGAAGACGCAATAGCTCCCCACCTGCAAAAAAAGTTGAAGCTCTGACACCGTTTGATCAAGCATTTAAAGGCAAACAAACTGCTGTGCCCAGAATAGTGAAATTAGAGACGGAAATCCGCTGCTACCTGGAGTGACATGATGCCACAGTGGACTGGTTTAATTTTTGCAGAAACGCCTGTATAGACATTTTGGACAATGAGGATAGGTTTAGTCAGATTGGTGGTGACGGTGGTGTTGTAGAAATAGACGAGAGCAAGTTTGGGAAGAGGAAATTTCATAGAGGCAAGCACATAGATGGAGTTTGGGTTTTGGAGGTATAGAGAAAGACAATACAGACAACTGGGTTTTTTTTGTAGCGATAGAGGTTAGGTCAGTAGACACTTTAGTCCCTATTACAGAAAAGTACATTAGGAAAGGCTCAGTTATTATTTCAGATTGTTGGAAAGCTTATGATAAATTAGGAGACTTTATACATCAGTTTTTCACTTTCCCACGTCGTTATAGTTTATAATGTAAGAGTCAAACCCCAAATTCCTGTCATTAGTTAGGATCATTTCATAGAGATGACTCTGGACTTTTTTGCTTATAATAAGCTTTGCATTTTTATCAAATTTTTTCCCCCTCAATTTCAGATGGTTTGACCAAGATGAGCTTCAAGTCCGTCCAAGAAGTTAAGGACCAAGTAGCTGCCATAGCTAGTGACACCTCCAAGTGTTTAAATGCAACTGTGATACACGTTTTTAATAAGTTCACTTGAGCAAGTGGAAGGAAAAAAGTGGTGTTGTAGTGATTATCTGGTAGTCAACTTCTTCAAAGACAATGTTTCCGTGCCTCGGATTAAGGCCAAAGTTTAACATGTTTTAGATCAGTTTCGTTTTTTGATAAAACGAGTGAAACAGAATAGTGAGACTACACAATTTTATTCGTGAAAAATTCGAATTTCCACATGTGTCTACAGTTTCAGCGTCATCTCCCCCACGTTCACCAGTGAGACCATCAGGGGCTGAATTGCCATTTACATCTGTGGTGACAACTCCAGTTAAGACAAGAAGAGATTGTCTTAACCGCTTCACTGCTGCTCGGCGTACGGTGTACGTCCATAAATCGGGCCCTCCTATGCGCTGTGGGCGTACAGTGTACGCCCGGCGATATCGCTGTTTTGTTTCGTTTCCTTCTCAGCCGGTAATTGCAATATAGTATCGAGAGTGGGCTCCCCTGAAAGCTCTTTTCTTCCCGAGTTAGAGAAGCTTTTATTTGCCCTAATTAGACCAATAATAACCGAAATAGCGGGAATTATAGCGTCAGTCCTTCTTCACAGTTCTAGCGTTTCACTCTCGCTGCCTTTCACTCTAGCTCCCAGCCATGGCTGATCGCACGCAACGTATGCTAACAACGCGTCAAGTTCTCGACGAAATTTTCACCGATAATGATAGCGGTGATGATGGTTTTGAGGCTGCTAGTGATAATGAAGACTACCAGTCGTCAGATGATAGTGATGCTGATGTTTTGGACCTGGACGAAGCAGAAGAGAATGATGAGCCAGCAGACGAAG